AAAAAAAAAAAAGTGCAGCCTTAAAATCAAAAAAATTAATGATTCAGGTAAATTAATCGGCTGAAAGAGGGAAAGCTCTTTGTTTCACTAATTACACGCGTAGGCAAAATAATCAGAATGTCCCCAAAACGATCACCTCCAAGTCAGTGGTCCTCGAGGCACGAGACTAAATCGTCCCACCCAAGGCTGTCAGTGCGTGGACAGGAGACGCCCACACTGTCCTCTTCCAGCCCTAGCCACACGCAGCTGTTTGCACTTCAACTAACAGCGGTCGAACGGTGTTAAACAGTTACGTAGATTCATGGGCTCCATGGTCACAGGTGACCGGTGGCTGCCATACTGGACGGCGTACACGCAGAACGTGCCCGTGGCCGAGGGAGGCTCTCCTGGGCAGTGCTCACACTGGCCCCTTGGTCTGAGGGTGGGAACATTTCAGATTTTTTTTAAAAGGGCCGTTGGAAAAGGTCACCCATGCTCTCCAGTCGAAACAAACCGACATGCCGCCGTAGGCCAGAGCGTAAGGCAGTGGCCCCGGGGTTCAGAGGAGGGAGCCAGGCACCCCCAGCCCGGCAATGCCCGTGGATGCAGCTGCGGCCCCGTGCTCCTGGGAGCTTTCCCGGGAAGGGAGTGGAAAGGTGGGGGGCGGACCTGGAGGGGGCAATCTGAACAGATCCGCCAGCCCCGGTTTACACAGAGGGGCACCGGGCAGCACAGGAAACGCATGAGGGGCTCGCTGCGTCCACGCGTGCACAGCTGTATTTCTGGAAGTCAACCGGATGGGAAGTTCAGCTTCTGGGGCGGACGAACCAGAGCTGGCCCATCTGTCGAGGGCTCAAAGCCCGGCCTCTTTGATTTGTTACCGCATTCTGCGAATTCCACAGTCTGCTCTCAAACAGGTTTGGAGATGACGGGGGAGCCTGTCAGCCAGGTTCCCCGCCCTTCGGCACGGCAGGAAGCTGCGGTTCTAAGCAGCTCACAGGTGAGGCCACTGTCTGCGGTCTGGTCTGGTCTGGTCTGCGGAATGCCCAGGGCAACCTCGCCACCTTATCAGAACTCAGCCCGCACTGATTGTCACAGGCAGGCAGCCCTCTCAGGGGACATTCTAAATGAGCAGGTTCACTCATGGGCCGAGGATAATTCCTTCCTTCCGGTGGCTTCGCCGTATGCCATTTTATCCGAGATAAAACAGCCTGCCGGGTGAGTTAAGGCATGTTAAATCGGGTAGTCTCAGCCTCCCGCTGAGCCGCCATCTGCCCAGCTGTCGCCAGGAGCACGTGGGCAGTGAAACGACTGGTTCCATCCTTGGTGGACAAGCATTTTGTAATCGATGTCTGGCCAGTTCAAACTTGACCTGGTGCCGGTTTGCAGCTGCATCTCCTGTCGGGTTTAATTATAATTCGCTGTTCATTTACCTTCACCATCATCAATTGCATCTACTGTTGGTTCGGTTCTACCATTTCTGGTGTCAACTAATTGCATCACAGGCTTGTCGACTGTCCGTTCTCTAGATATCAAACTTTACGACGTGTCCCCCCTGTGATGCGATGTGAAACACGTTTGACCATTGCCCAAAGCGAACGGATACATGAACTCCAAGCGTGTTCCCTGCGCTTCCGACGGGGAATCTTCTGATCTGTGCTATTCACTTAACTCACAAAACACCCGTCAAGGCTCTGACACAGCTACACGCAGTTTGATAATGTGCCGTGTTAACTACAGGACCTTCTGGAAAAGGCAGACCTATGGAGACAGCAATAACAAGATCCGTGGTTGCCCGGCATCGGGGGCACAGAAGGAGAAGCAGGTGGAGCGCCAAGCATTTTTAGGGAGTGGAACGACTCTCTGCGATATTATAACGATGGACACGCGTCATTATACATGTGTCCGAACCAATAGAATAGATAATGAAAAGAGTATCGTCTGAATTCAAAACTACGGATTTCAGTTAATGAGACTGTATCACGATTGGCTCGTCGATTGTAATAAATACACCGTAATAAGGAAAGACGACCGTGGAAACTCTCGGGGTGACAGAAGGAGGTACGAGGAACCCACGACACTCAGGTTTTCTGTCAGTTTGAAACTACTCTGAAGATAATATATTATTTTTAAAAAGTACTTCCAAGGCCAAACATTACATTTACAAAATATATACATTTCTATATGTTATGAGCCAATGGAATGTCCCGAAAATAATACTAGGTAAGTTCGGCAAGCTATTTTTGAGTTCGAAGGGCAGTTTGATAGTGCAAAATCACGTGCGTCGGCTCACGCTCCTCTCTCATAAAAGCAACTGACTGGGGGTTCATGTGTTCCGGTCCCGCTGCCCGTCCTGACCAAGTCTCCGCCCTGGGAACTTAGAAACGTGTGTGTCGGGCGGGTGGGCTCTTTGTGTCGGCCTGGGTCACATGGTCGCTGGTGTAAGTACCACCCACTGAGGGTGCAGCCCTCAAGAGGGGCCCCCTGGTGTCCGACCACTGTCCCGTTCTGCAGGGGGCGGGCGCAGTGTCAGGGGTTCCTCAGCCCTCTTCACGGGGCTTCCTTTCCACCGCGTGACTGGCCAAGAGCAGGGTTCTCGGCCTCGGCACGGCCGACGTCTTGGCCGGATCCTCCTTGGTTGTGGGGCGTCCTGTACGCTGTGCGATGTTCAGCAGCATCCCTGGCACCTGCCTAGGAGACAGTACCCCTCTCCGTAGTTATAAACAACTAGAACTGTCTCCAGACAAATAACCCTGGGGATCAAGATCGCCCGCGATGAGAAGCACTAGCTCGATCAACGCCACAGGCCACCACCACCAGACAGCTGTGGGCGCAGGATGGAAGAGCCACGTGAGGCTGAGGGAAGTGGGGACAAGCCCTGGACAGAGACGCAGAGTGACAGCCCAGAATGACCGGCCCGGGGAGGGCCGTGCCAAGGGGGCCTCCAACAGCGCAGGGACGATCACCTTGATTATTTATGGTGCGGTGGACACACGGAAATTCACTTTGCTATTCGTCTTTAACAGCACAGGCTGTGTACGCACGTATGCACGTCCCCCAAAATAGAATTAAAAGGTTGTCGCAAAACCGTTAACTGGTGTAGCCCCTGCACAATTCTGCAAAAGTCCTGGCACCAGCTGTAGGGGTCCACCGCTGCCCTAGATCCGCCCGCAGAGTTTTCTTTTTCTTTATGGTGACATTGATTAGCAAAATCCAATACGTTTCAAGTGTACACTTCAACAGTGAGGCAAATAGACATCGCATCGCGTGTCCGCCGCCTTGAGCTCGACTGCTTTCTGTCACCACGTATGCGACCCCTGTGGCCTCACCTCCCTCCCTCGCTGCACAGCGGTCAACACTTAAACTCGCCTGTGCTGAGATTCAGGGGGTACGAGGAAAAGGGGTCTGGAGAGAGGAGACAAAGCAAAATGCAAAGACGGGAGATGAACGAGAGAGTATAAGACGGGGGGTTGCGTGTTAAGCACAGGACACGCGGCTGGCACCCCCAGGCCCGACCTGCGGCCCGCTCACGTCCGTCGATGTCGGTAAAGCCCAGGCGAAGCCACAGACCCTCTGGGAGCAGCCACTCCAGCTGTTTGGTCACCGAACCCTTAACGCTGAGCGAGCAGCTGCGGCATGAGTTGCTGAAGCCAGGGCGCTGGACCGCCAGGAAAGGTGGGGTCCTGCCATTCACTCAAGACAAACCACGCGGGCCGGAAACGCGCCAGCGAGGCCTTCCTGCGGGACCTCTGGGAGGAGCAGACAATGCTGGGACCGGGCGGTTAAGGGCATGTGTGGACCTTGGAAGCCCAGAGACTCCCAAAGGGCCCTGGGCAGGAGATGACACCCCCCGGCCAACGGCTTGGACACAGCGGAGGGAAAGGGGGAGGCCTGTGAGACAGACCAGCCTCGGCAGCTGAGGACAGGTGGCCACGGAGCGGGTGGGGACAGAGAGCCCACCGGAGAAGGCGGACCCCAAACTCGGGGCCCATGATAGGAAACAAATACAAAAAGGGTCCTACTTGAGGTACACAGTGTCCCTGACGGGGATTTGGGCTGCACGAGGCTGGCGGGTGTCGAAGCGCTCGTTGGAACCCTCGGGGTGTACTGGGGTACCGCGGGCGGGTAGTATGGAGCCGGATACACCGAGAAGGCAGTGGGGGCCACAGCGGGTCGCGGGGGATACAGACTGTCGGGCTGGTATCCACCATTTTCGTAGTAAGGTCCAACGCTCGGTGGTGGTGATCCCTAAACAATTAAAAATAAAAAGGTGAATAACATGAAACCCCAACGACCCTAAAGGCTAAACGCGTGTTCCATCGCACTTAAGATGCTGAGAGGGGGCCGCGGAGCCTTTCAGGGCGCCCGCGACTATGGCAAATGTCGAATAAAAACCAACCAGAATTTCCAATTAATTGTCAACAGATTCTGGCTTCGTTTGCTAACTACTCATTTTTTATGGAGGTAAAACCGACATATAACGCCGTATTACTTTCCGGTGTACGACGCGATAATCGGTATTTATACACCTGTGTAACGACCTCCGTCACCGCACACAGCTCCAGAACTGTTTCCTCTCGCGACGAGAACGCTGAGGACCGACGACCCCAGCCACGCTGCGCTCGCCCCCCGGGACTTGATTACCTGTCTCGTCACGGGACGTCTGTGCCTTTTTTTTTTTTGACTCTCTCCACCCATTTCACCCACTCGCTTTTTCTTTGGGAGATGGAAAGTGAATGGTTGACACTGAGATTTAGTTTTAAAAAATAATTAAGAAAAAAAAAATGTATGAAAAGCCTGGGAACGAGTCCATACCCTATGCCTTGAGAACGGGGGAACGAGCGATAGCAGAATTAGGACGAGAATAATCAGAGCTGACACCGGGTGACTCGCCTGCTCCTGGGCGTCTGCCTGGACGACCTTGAAACCTGACCGTAAGCCCCGAGATGGTTCACGGACGACTGAGGTGCCGGCTCCGCAGGGAGCGGTGTGAGTGACGGGGCTTAAGAAACGTCACCTGTGCAAGTCATGCTACGAATTCCTTTTCCAGCCCCTCTTCTCTGGTAGAATGTATCATAGCCACTCACTGCCGTTTAATGAACGGGCGGGTATGTGGTTCGCAACTGCGTTTTTGCGGAGTGCGTGGACCTCTGCCTGGTCGCTGTGAGTGGGATTTCGGGGTGCAGAAGGGAAAGGCCCCCCTCCAGCCTGAGCGGTTTATTCCTAGTTCCATCTACACCCTTAGAAATCCCTTCTCCTCCTCTTTCCACTGAAAACTCGCCTCTCCAGACCTGACCTCCGAGACTCGCCCCCCGCGGGCCACTGTCCACCCCGCGGCCTGCCCTCTGCCCCGGCGTCAGCCCTCCCCCATCGCCCATGGCTGAGAGGCCACCTTTGGCCCACGTGGGTGTCTGAGGTGCCCATGCGAACCCCCCTCCCTGCTCACTCACTCCTCCCCTGCGGTTTGAGACCTCAGAGGAAACCGCTATTCTGAACGGAGGTGACCGAATGCTTAGAATTTTAAATGGAGCCCGCGGGAAAGTGGGGTTACAAAAAGGGAGGCCCCTGCAGGCTCCCAGAGCTAGCCGCTGCGTGGTCACTCCCCAGGCCTCGCCTTCAGAAGCCCAAAGACTGGAACTAAACCAGAGCCGCGGACGGGAAGAAAGGACATGTGCTCCCCCATCGAGCGGGGTCCCAGCAAGCAGCACGGTGCGCTCTGCCTCTGTCAGATGCATCCCCCCCAACCCCCCACCCCGACAGAATATGCTGCGTCTCCCCGCCCCCCACCCCGCCCCCGGGAAAGGCTGCAGCAAGCACAGCTGCCTGTCCTGCAGAATTCCCGTGCGGCGGTTGGAAATTTAAAATGGATCCAGTGCAAATCCATACAGAACGTAACAGAACGGGGTGTGTGCGTGTGGTGGAGAGAGCTCTATTTTCCAGATACGGGATCTAGAAAATTGCTGTTATTAACCGTTTTCACCAAATGCTCATATTCCCAGGTATAAGCTGAACCCGTAAGATATGACAGGGAACAAGGACAGTGCGTTTGTCTCTGGCGGGGGCGGAGGCGGGGGCGAGGTCCAGGGGGAGAGCTAGCCGGCCCAGCGCCCCATCGATCGAGAGGGTCTCAGCGTACCAGGAAGCTAGGCTACACTGCGGCCCGTTGGCCCACGCACCTACACACTTTCTTCCCCAGGACGTGCCCCCTCCTGGCACCATCCTGCCCCAACTGTCCGCAGCCCAGCACCTGCGCCCTGCCCCACCCCCACCCTGAGAGCCAAGAATACAGGAGCCGGTGAGGAAGCTCAGCCCCACACCCACCCCGCGCTCGGGGCCACCCCGCAGCTGCCCGCCTGTGCCCCACAGAGCGCCCCGGCCAGCGTCCACGAGAGCGCACGGTCCTGGCGAGCAGCTCTTACAACGCCGACCGACACGCACCTCGGAAAATTATGGAAAGAACCAGAAAACAGAGAGGAGGCCGGGAGGGCCCGCGGCGCTTACCGAGCTTAAAGCCATCCCGACTCGGTCAGCAGCATCAGGTCATGGGAGGTACTTGGAACCTTCGAGATGGCCTGGAAGAAAGAATAACAGGACTGTAATCTCTCCTTACCAGCTAGTTTCTAGAACGATAAGGAGAGGGAGAGCTAGAGCATCGTCCAGGGGAGTCGCCTCTCCCCGGAGCAGACAGGGGCGCCGGCCCGTCACCTGTGCCCGCTCCTGCCCACGAGCGCTCACGCCCGCTGCAGGCGTCTGGGACCCGCTCGCGCGCAACTCCAAGTCCAGGGCCGGCCCTGGCCACATGGCGCTCACAGGGGGCCCCGGCTGTCCCCTCCGCTGCCCCACCAACACGAGGAAACATGCACACGGTGACGACGGACTCGTCAGCTTCAGCAGAAGCAGAGAGCTGGAGCCAGCTCCTGGCAGGGCCACTTCCCAGAGGGGTCACTGGCAGTAAGCGACCTTCTCTGAATGTCAGACAGAGACGGACTTAGAAGTTGGCACTGTCTCATCCAGCCGAGGGCTCAGTGACGCGGTGCAGGCAGACACCTCATAGCGCCAGGTGCCGAGTGACAGCGAGTGTGACCGGACGCTCCCTCGCCAGTGCCTGCAGAGCGTCCGTGGGGACGAGGAAGTAGCCGCACACCCTGAGCAGATGTTCCAGAACTTAGTACCAGACACGGGCCACGCCCGCCTTTTTACATGAGCCAAATGGAATCTCCCGATTCCTAATAAACACGTAAGTAAAAATAAAAAAAAAAAATTAAAAATTAAAAAAAAAAAAATGGAAAAACGCATCCACACAGACCCATTACTCCATTTCCTAACCCAGGTCCAGAAAGGAACGAAATTCCGAATGAGGGTTAGCCGTGCTGCAAAGCAAGCTCGGGGCACGTGTCCGTGACATTCGTGAACCGATCAGCGTGCAAAGCTCCAAGCTCTGTAGAAAGCCCCCCTGACTTCGCTCTCCGAGGGCTTCGATCCGCCCTCCGCCGCTGATGGCAACGCCCCAAGGATGCTTTCGGGGACTGGCGGCCGCGTCCAGATGGATGAGAGCGCCCTGGGCTCCGAAGCCGGCCAGGCCCGGTCTGAGTGTCTTCCGTCTCTAAAGCGCCCGGCGCACAGCGAGCAGCACACGCGTGCGGCGACCCCATGACCTCGGGGGTCCAGACCCCAGCTCAGACCCTCACCAGCAGTGACCGGGGCAAGTCGGCGAACTTTCCCGTGCCTCGGTGACCTCTAACAGCAGCACCCGCTTCGGGGTGCTGGGGGTGCGGGAGGAGGGGACCGGGGGGGCTGTTAGTGCCCGGAACACAGTAAGTGCCACACACATTTCTGTTTTAAATAGAAGTGGGGATTGATAAAGCTGATACATGTCGAGCAGCCTGCGGGAAGGGGGAGCTGGGCGGTGCGGCGGGGGGCGCTGATCATGGCGTCTGCAGATTCGCATCCGGTAAATTCTCCCAAGACACCTGCATGAAGTCTACCTTCTCTGAAAGTCCGGCGAAGGCAAAGGAAAAGACAGACCCCACCCCAGCGGGCCACCGGCCGCCCTCTCCTAAGCAGCCCTGCTATGCGAGTCATTAAACTAAAAATAACAATGACGTGCTCGGAATGAGAATACCAGGATGGCTTTTTAATCTGGGGACACCTCCCTGAACAGC